AATAATAATAATAATAATAATAATCCACCTGCTTCATATAAGGGAACATGAATGAAAATGAAAATCTGATTTATTTAAAAACAAGTTAATTACAAAACAGATCTTAGTAACAGTGAAGCATCATCTCTCAAACCCTTGCATCAAAAAAGAATATTTCATATACACACATACCATATATGCAAACTGGACTACATGCTATACATATAGAGAGTGCAAAGTCAATACCAACATTAAAGCTAAATAGTTCTGCAGATTTAATAGGTGTGCATCAAACAGTTGTAACAATCAGATTTTTCATTCTCAAAAAGCAAAACCAGTAACTCCTTCTGTCCAAACTCCATACATAACTGCTAAACAGAGTTCAGTTTTACTGGTGCCCTTTTAATTGTAAGTTAGTTTAAAGTATGCCGATGAACTAAAACCAATAGGGCACGGATCTCTTTCTGCTACAGTGCAAGCGTTGGTATCTGATGCAGTGATGGAAACGTGGAAGTGATGGGGTGCCCAACTCATGTATTCTGAAGTAAAACAAGCAGTTAACTTTTTGAGCTGTTTTTCAACACCCATTATGAAAAGAAAGAAAAAAAAATACTGTAAAACTGCCCTACTTGTCTTCTGATGGAAGTTTCCCCCACATACTAACTGCAGTGTCGGAATGACTTTTAGTGATAATAGCTAGAAGGGCAATGACGGAAAAAAGTGAGTGTGGAAAATCTAAGGCTAACCTTAAAAACTTCCTTTACTTTTAAAGAAAAGTTAATTAGAAGTAGCCTCTTTTTTTACTTCAAAATCTAACTAGCTTATTCTTATACCCCAAACTTTGTGACTAGACCATGCACACACATACTATGTATACCAATGCAGAGTTTAAACTGAGTAGCTTAATCTGCAACTGGCAGAACAAACTAGGCATCATGAACACTGGGTTTAATATTTAAGAGTCTGGCAAGTTACTTAACATTTAATAAGGTTTTTTTTAAAAGTTATATAAAGCAAGAATAAACTTCCAGGGTATTACATCTGTTCCAATTTTTAAGAGTAAAATCTGAATGAAAAACATGCTCCCTATACACCTTCAGCAGACCCAAGAAAAAAGTACACTGTCTCTTTAAATGAGCCTGTCACAGTCATAATATTGCAGGAAATAAAGGAGACATTAAACACACACGGATACACACACTTGCAAACATCAATGCCACATCATATAACATACCGTCTTGGAATCTAATTCATGATGGGGTTGAGCTAATACTTTATCAACACTTGCCGGATCAGCAAATGTAACGAAACCAAACCCCCTGAAACGAGACAAAGAACAAGAGCGGGTGGGAAAGAGAGACAGCAGGAACTAGGTACTAAAAAAGAAGCGGCAAAAATACAAAGACACATAGTCTCTCTCATTCCAGGCTGTAACACTGTACTCTTTAAAAACTCTCACCCTTTCCTTAAAATATACTCAGATTCAGGTAGATGTGAAAACTTCCAAATTTTTACAAAATCTGACCCTTCTCCCTACTTTCCCTCCCCCCTCAACACACACACAAAATCATCTTTCCACATTAAATTCCTTCTTCTTTTTTTAAAAAATCAAAAAGTAAGGAAGGAATGGTGGGACAGGACCCTCTTACTTCAAAGGAAGGTTAAGAAGCCAAAATGTTTTATTTTTTTAAAAGAAAAAACAGGAAAAACATATTTCTGCAAGAAGTACCCTTGAGTACTATTGAACAGGTTCCCACCAACAAAAATTAAACCCCTACCAACATCAACGTTTATGAATAAGGCATAGCACTTCAAATCAGTTCTAATAGTAATATGGAAGTATTTCAAAATAAAAAGGCTTAACCCTCAAGAAAGGTTGTTATTCTTTATATATTTCTATATAAGTTAGAATATTCATCCTTCCATCACACACACACACACACACAGAGAGAGAGAAGAATATCTATAAGAAGAGAACTTTTGATTTAAAAGTGGAGGGACGTTTTACCTGGAGCGCTTTGTCGTTGGGTCCCGCATGACCATACATTCTCTGATGTCTCCAAATTTGCTAAAATAATCTCTAAGGTTATCTGTGAAGAAGAGGAAGAAGAAGAGAGACGATGAAAGGAGAAAATGGGAATGGGGGAGAGAAGAGGGGAAAAACAGAAGCAAATGTTTGTTTGTTTTCAAGTGTATTAAAGATGGTCCATGGGGGGGGGAGAGCAAGATTTAATTTTCCTTGCAAGTGGACAGGGAGGGATAGATTGGTAGAGCAAAAGAAACCTTCCTGTGCTTCTCCCCCCCTCCCCCCAGCCCGCCACCCTTTAAAAGTGCACGCACGCAAATGTAAGGTCGAATAGAGGACTTGAGAAGCAGATCTGTTATTTGGAGGAAATAAAAATATCTCGTCTCCTTAACCTTGTGCAGGGCAAAACCATGTGTCTGTCTGTGTGTGAGAGAGAGTGTTTGAAAAGGGGGGGGGTTGCTGGCGGGGAAGGAGAGTGAACCCACTGAAACTGACCTGGGATAACAACAAAGACCTATGGAAGGAGGAAGGGACGGAAGGGGAGTGGGAGACAGGGGTGCCCCCCCACCTCTCCCTACATGAGCGCGCGCACACATACAGAGGCACAGGCACACACCCTCCCCCCTCCCGTACTTACCTGGTGAGGTTTGCCAACTCAGGCCGCCAATAAACATTTTACTGGAAGAAGAAAACATAACAGAGTTAAGCACAGATGTCAGATCGGCCATTTTGACGTGTAACTTACAAAAGCTAAAAGGAAGGGAGAGGTGGAAAGGGGGGGTTGCCGGGGGGGGGCGCTGAGTGAAGCAGAGGCTGGTTTGGAAGGGGGGAGAGGGGAGAAGGAGGTGAGGAAGCTAAAGAAGGGATGGAGCAAGGATGGAGCAGAGGGGGTACGGCAGATCAGGGCAACCCACCCAAGGTGAGTAACTCAGCGAGCGAGCCAGAGAGAGAGAGAGAAAGCAAGCCAGTGGGAGCCGGCATAAGATCAGCCATTGGGTTTGCTTCACTCTTTCGCCCCCCCCCGGCCCCGTTTATCCCAGATTTGCAAAAGGGAGGAGAAAAACCCTACTAAAGTGCAATCGCAAAATAAAACAGTGACGGTGGAGGGAGAAGTCTAACTTACCCGGGGTCGTGCTGCGAGTCGTTGGGGCTTCCAGAAATCGCTTGATTCCCATCTGCCTCCATGGCTGCAACCAAGAAGAGGACTCAACCCCGTGGAGAGAAAGGAAGAGAGCGAGAACAGCCCCCGCTTGAGAGATTCCCCCCACCCACCCTCCCCCCGGTTTCTTTTTACCCCCTTTCTCTCTCCCCCCTTCCTCTTTCTTCGCTCACTTCTCTTTTTCCTTCTCTTTCTCCCGCTCTCTCTCTCTCTCTCCCTCTCTCTCTTCTTTTATTTTATTCTTCTCTATTTTTCTCCCCCGTTACCGGCGAGTCTTACTGGTTGGAGAGGGGGGGGAGAGAGGGAGAGAGAGAGAGAAGCCGGGGAACCAGCCAGATCCTTTCACACGTGGGATCAGCTCAGCTTAGCTCAGCTCAAGCGCCTTCCTTCTCTCCCTCCCCCCTCGCCTCTCGCTCCCTTTCGCGCANCAATTCGGCGGACGTCACACTCTCCGCCGAGGCCCCGCCCCTTCTTCTGCTTCTTTCCTCCCTTCCCAGCACCGCCCCCGCCCTCCTTTTCTGTTTTTTTTCCTCCCCCTTTGCGCGCACGCACGGAAACGAGCGAGCGGATACATTCTGCCTGGTTTGCCCGTGACCTGGATCCCTCGGTTGATCTCTTCGAGACAGACGCAGCGCCTGTCTGCTGCTGCTGCACAGAGGAAGGCAGAGAGAGAGAGAGAGAGGAGCCGGCCCGAAGGAGACCGGCCGGAGGCCCTAAAGCTGAGTCAAGTTGAAAGAGGCCTCGTGGCTTCAACTTTAAATAAAGAAGTAAACAAAACAACATGCCGTAGCATCGTGCCTGTTCTAGGCTCTGGTTTACTTGGTTGCTTCTTTAAGATTTAAGAGTTTGTTTGTTTTTTACTTTGATGTCCCCTAAAGTTATTTTTAGAGGGCCTCAGAATGGGAGGCCTTAAACTGTACTTTACTGAAATTGCATGTAAAGTGGGCACTGAAAGAAAAGTGGTGGAAGGTCATGAATGCCTGGTTCTCTCTTCCTGCTGGTTCCTCCCC